GCCGCCGTCGGGGCCCTCGGAGGCCCGGGCCTCGTCCTCGTCCTCGCTGGAGGCCGCCGCGCGCCGCATGCTGGGGGGGGCCGCAGCATCACCCAACCGCCTGCGACACGGCAAGGACACGCTAAGGACACACTAAGGACATGCTAGGGACATGCTAGGGACACGTGTGTGAGAGCAGGGACATGCCACATGCTGGGGGGGGGCCGCAGCATCACCCAACCGCCTGCGACACGGCAAGGACACGCTAAGGACACGCTAGGGACACGCTAGGGACACGTGTGTGAGAACAGGGACGCAGCATGGACAGGCTGCATGCTGGCGGGGCCACAGCATCACCCAGCTGCCTGCGCACACGCCAAGGACACGCATGCAGGCATGCACACACATGAGCATGCATGCACACACGTGGCCACACTGCACCCTTGCACACTGCAGGCGTGCAAATCCGCAGGCTGGACCCACCAGCACCCACGTGCTAGAGTGTGTGTGCACATGCACATGCATGCACATTTGCACACGCATGTGCCCACACAGGCCTGCATGCTGCTGTACACACCCGTGCATGGATGCTCACAGCAGCGCACGCTTGCCTGGGTGCACACGTGCAAACACACAGGGCTACACACAAATGCATCCCCTGCATGCCAGAGTTGCAAACGAATGCACGCCGTGCATGCACGGGTTGCAAACGAATGCACACTGTGCATGCGCGGGTTGCACACGAATGCGTCCTGTGCATGCAAGGCTTGCACATTCATGCACCCCGTGCATGCAAGGCTTGCACACGAATCCATCCTATGCAAGGGCTGCACACAAATGCATCCCATGCATGCAAGAGTTGCAAACGAATGCACACCGTGCATGCACAGGTTGCACACGAATGCACTCTGTGCATGCAAGGTTTGCACACGAATGTGTCCCATGCAAGGGTTGCACACGCATGCACCCCGTGCACGCAAGAGTTGCAGACCCATGCACTCTGTGCACACAAGGGTTGCACCCGAATGCACCCGGTGCACACAAGCACCCCGTGCACACGCGTGTGCAGGAGCGCGGAGCCCCTTTGCAGAGGCGCAGGCTGCCGCGCGGCCCCGACGCCCTAGTTTTGGTGGCGGGAAGTGGGGCAGCCCCCGGGGGACGCGCGGGGCGCCCCAGATCGGCCGGCGCCGCCGCCACCTCGGGGACCTTGGCCCAGTTCGGGGGGACGGGAGCGCGTGCGTGCACCACAGAGCACGCGTGTGCAAGAGCGGGTGCACGGGAGCGTGTGCGTGCACCATGGAGCACGCGTGTGCAAGAGCAGGCACAGGGGAACGTGTGCACGCACGGGGAGCATGTGTGTGCAAGATTGGGGTGCAAGAGTGAGGCCCTGTGAACGCGGGTGCACGTGTGTGCGTGCATGGGACACACGTGTCCTGGAGCGTGTGCATGCAGGAGTTGCAAATAGCAGTGCTCGTGCATGCACACGTGTGCAAAGATGAGCATGCAACAGGAGCAAGTGTGAGGGAGTGTGTGCATGCATGGGACACACATGTGAGGGAGCGTGTCTGCACACACATGCATGTGTGCATGCATGAGGTGCACACAGCAGGGAGCTGCTGCATGCACGTGGAATCACACATGTGCAAAAATGAGCGTGCAAGAGACGTGAGGGCAGCTCGTGCGTGCAAGGGACGCAAGTGTGAGGGAGCATGTGCATGCACATGGCAACACACATGTGCAAAAATGAGCACGCACAAGGTGCACATGTGAGAGAGGGCATGCAAGGGGTGCAAGTGTGGAGTGCACACATGCGTGGGAATGCACGCGTGTGTGCAAGGGCTGCAAACCTCAGGGAGCAGGTGAATGCACAAGCATGCATGTGCATGCACGGGGTGCTCACACGAGCATGGTGCACACGTGAAGGAGGCTGCGCGTGCAAAGAGGGTGTGTGCAACGCGGCGTGCATGTGTAAAGGCACATGTGTGTGCACAGGAATGCACACACGTGTGCACGCACAGAGGTGCCTCTGCAGGAAGCGTGTGCACGCATGGGGCTGCACACGTGTGAGTGCACGCTCATACACAAGGACACATGTGAGGCTGCTTGCACAAGGATGCACACGTGTGGGAAGTGTGCACACGCGTGGGGAGCGTGTGTGCAGCGAGAGCTGCGGCGCGGTGCAGGCCCTGGTGTGCGCACGAGGACTGACAAAGGGTTGTGCATGGGAACACACACATGGGATCATGCGTGTGCACATGCGATTGCATGAGCTCGTGCACATGTGTGCATCGCCCTGGACACACTCAGGGCGCTGGTTTTGCACACACGGGCGTGTGGGATGTGGTGCATGCACCAGCGTGCAGCTCGCACACGTGTTGTGCACACTCACGCATGGCCCTGCATGTCTGCATTGCAGCGCATGCCTTGCACGTGCCCTTTGCACACCTGCACACGCCCCATGCACCTTTTACACGTGTTCACACGCTGCTTGCACACCCTGGGCACGCTCACACCGCTTGCACACGTGTCGTGCACACCTGAACACGCTGCACACACACTGCCCTGATTTGCACACGCTTAAACATGCCCTGTTCTTGCACACGGGTCGCATGCATCCTGTGCACGCTCACACAGCTTGCACGTGCCCCGTGCACACCTGCACATGCGTCATGCTCTCACACCGCTCTCAGCGTGTGAGCATGTGCAAGCTCACACACGCACCATGCACGTTCCTGGTGCACGTGCACGCTCACACATGGTCCATGCATGCTCACGGCGTGTGTGCACCCTCCCACATGCTCTGTGCATGCTCCTAGCACACGTGCATGCTGACATGCACTCCGTGCAGGCTTCCAGCTCCTGTGCATGCTCACAAGCGCTCCATGCACGCTGTTAGCACACATGCACACCCACATGTGCTCCGTGCACGCTCACACGCGCTCCATGCATGCCCCGAGCACATGTGCACGCTCCCATGTGCTCCGTGCACGCTCCCAGCTCCCGTGCAACCTTGCACATGCTCCGTGCACGCCCCTAGCACACGT